TCAATTTATCGAATTATCTAATTAATTTGAAGGTAATCTATAATTGATTAGTACTTATCAATTAATTGAAAGAGTATATATGAGCTAGGAATGACGATAAGTCATAAGAAAAAAGTTAGTTTAAAAAAATATAAAAAAATATAGTATTAAAAAAATGGCAGCAGCATTATCAGATAATGATAAAACAGATTCAATAGACTCTGTTGAAGCTAAAAAAGCATTAATTGTGCAATAGTTTTCTTTTTTTTGCTGTGTTATTTTTGTAAATAATTGATAATTGTATCTTTATTTTTTTCTATTACTTTAATTATTAATTAGATATAATTTTGTGTTGTTAGGTAATGTTACTTAATAAATTAGATATAAATAAATTTTAAAATTAGATATACAGGGTGATCCATAAATAACTGTGCGATAAGAAATTCAAATATCTCCATTACGGCTCGAGTAAACGTGCTGATTTTTTTACCAGTGATAGAGGCATGTACCAAGTTTATATCCATAAAGACATGTCCAGGGAGACCCTTTGTTAAGTATCACTGTTGACCTCAACAAGAAAAATTTACTTTTTTCACAGTTAGAAGAAAACGTCACTTTACCGAAAACAATTGAATATCTCTGCTACGGCTCGAGCTGACGAGCTGATTCTTTTATTAATGATAGAGCCACGCTCAAGCTTTATATTCATAAAGACATGCCTAGAGAGATCCTTTATTAAGTATACTAGAGTTTTTTCTATCTGTGAAAAAATGAAATTTTTCTTGTTGAGGTCAGTAGTGATACTTAACAAAGCGTCTTCCTAGACATGTCTGTATAGATATAAAGCTTATACATACCTCTATCATCAGTAAAAAAATCAGCTTCTTTGCTAGAGTCGTAATGGAGATATTCGAATTTCTTATCGCACAGTTATTTATGGACCACCTTGTATTATTTTCTTAATTAGATATAAATTCATCCTATATTAGATATAGATTTATTTTAAAATTAGATACAGATTGCTATATTTTTAGGTATTAGTTTATATTTACCCCAAAACAATACATTGGCATTATTTTGTTGACTAATACTGTAGACGCGAATTCAGCACTACAATCACATGTTATGATTTCCTGAAAATTGACGTAAAAATTTTACCAAATTATTTAATAACTAATAAAAAGAACTAGATGGTTATCGAGTTTCACTCGATCATGAAGAACATTGTGGTTTTATCGTTTAATTATTTATATGAGTCATTATATATAGTCATCTTACTGTCTATGCTGTCTTCATTTTAATCACCTCAAAACTTGAAAAACAACAAATTCAAATTTATGTTATCTCGATTGAACTAACCGAGATTTATTCATATTTTGTGTTCTTGAAAATGTGACCTACCAAATAATGCCAACAAAGTCACGAAAAAGAAATGAAAGGTATATCACTTTTTTTGAAATCGTCAAAACAGCTCTATGTTGAGTGTGGCTGTTTATATGATTGTATAGGAATTTTTGTTGATTGAAACACATAGATCCACGCTATATTGCAAACCAGTCGATAGTTCTCATCAAGACACCTGTCAAATGGTAATGAAGAATCTATACATAAAACTTAAGGGTATATATATTTTTTCAAAATATTTAGTAGAATGGATCGAGTAGTGTAATGGTGTGCATGTGAATGGATGTGTGTATTGGTCAAGAGAATATTCATACTCAAATCAGAAAAGTAAGTTTTGTCTTTACACTTCAGATTATATCAGAAAAACCTTCATTGTCTAAAAGATACGTCGCATGTATCATATTTTGTGAAACAACGTATGGCACATAAAAGTGCAACACATTCTGAAAACATGGTTTGAATCTACTCTTCGTCGGGTCAGTTATGTTTTTCTGGGAATTCGAATTACTTTTTTTTCGATTTAATATTGAATTTTTAGTGCCTACTCTTGAAGTACGAGAAGGTGGTAAGATCTAGCCACGTGAAATCGATTTGATTTCGATCAGATCACTTTGAGATAGCCTAATTTCGATCATTGATCAATCCCTCAGCATGTTCTCGACTAAATGTTAATTAAAAAATAGTCTAAAAAAGACATATATCGCCTTGGTTATATATCATTATATGCGCAAAGCACAACGGTGAATAAATGAGTACAATGCGAGAATTCAAACTTATCTCTGATAAAAAGCATTTCTTATTGTATCGTTTTTTTGAAATGAAGGTCATTGAAAACACCAACATCATTTCGTATTACTCAGATGCTTTCTTATGCAGTGCTCGCATACGGCATCTTTACGGCTAAGTTCAGATGATAGTATACAGCAGCATTTTTATTTTATATACACTATATTCTCACAGTATATAGTCACAATGTAAACCTCTGGAAAAATAAAAAAGTTTCTGGAAAATCTCTCCGTACATCATGGCAAATTTTTAAATGTTTTTGTCACACGAAACAAGTGAATGCTCTAGAGAGCTGATTTTTAAACAATCGTTCGATTTTAATGATCTTTACAATATGATGTTGGTCATACTTGTGAATCAATGACCAGGAAAAGAAAACGAATGAATGTGATGCAATGAACAGCGTTGAATTGATTTTCATGCATTTTGAATAATTGAAACTTGTCAACTCGATAGAAGAACACAGACAGAGAGGTGACAAAAAAAAATCTTGATGAGATACCAATACATTGAAAGAAAGAAGAAAAGAAAAATGTAGTATTACATTTCGTTAGCAGTCCTTTGTTTACGTATTCTACCTTCACATTATTACTCATTGTACAGATATGAACGAAAGAAATAAAATGTCAATAGCAATAATATTAACAATTCGTTTGTGTGTTGTTATTTCGTTGATTTGTTCGTCATTAACGTACTTTTTTGTTGATCTTTCATGTTCGTCATAGTTATATTTTTAGAAGAAATCCAACATAATCATGCAATCAAGGTTACGCCCATTTGTTTGCGTGAAACAAATTTCAATGTTAATGCAAAAAAATTTAGTTAAACAATATATCAGCGATATTTTTTATTATTCGTTAACTGTATGCAAACACATATGACTCTCTTTAACATACATGCAAAACAGATATTTCCTAATATGTTTTTCATCGAAATGCATTTACTGTAAACATAGTTCTAGTGATGCACGCTAAAATTGCGCGAATCTCAAATGTAAACAAACATTAAAATTTGAATATTATTTCTTTATGAATTGTAGAAATTATTGCAAGACTAGCAGTTTAGAATACTAAAAAAACACAAATTCATTTTATTTTATACATATTTTGAATGAATATAATGTAAGTCAAAAATAACTTTAGCAAGCAGATTGTGAGTGATGATATATTCATTCTACTACACGCACTTACAGTCTCGCAGTTTGTTTTTGCTTGAATAATACTTGAATAACGAACAGTATGACTGGCAAGTAGTAACCGTTGTTTGATTTTTACTTCAATGCCCATTGAATTTGTTTTTCTTGTTGTTTCGTTCACATTATCAGAATGTTCATTATAATAATACTGAAAAAAAAAAAACAAACAAACTGACGATATCTTTGTTGCTTTTTTTCGTTCCTGTCAGAAAGAGAAAAAAAATCATCTGAAAATATCAAAGAAAAATAAATAATGAATGAGATAAGGCATCCGTAGAATGACTGAAGTGTCCTTCTAGAGATGCAAAGCAAACGAAAGTTGGACAGAGTAACCATAAAATATGTGATTTTGTTGTTTTTTTTTCTTTTCGTTTCTTCTTGACAAACATATTTTTAACTGAAACTGATTGGAGTCTGTTGTTGAGTGTCAACGAAAAACGCCACACCCATATTGGACGACGGCGAAAATTTTAGGAAAAAGACAGCGGGCATCAACCGCATAAATAGAAAGAGTGATCTCTATCTTTAAAAAAGGCAATTACTCACCATTTTACATTAACCACCAAGCGACATCTCATACACAATATAAGTGAGCGAAAAACCAAACAAAATATTTTCACATAAAATATGAATACTGTTGCACCTACAACTGCCTCATTGATTACTGCTAAACCAAGACGATACATAGCCCAAAACTATTCACTCATCTGGATTGATGGCACTATCAATAAATCAGAAGAAGATTGGCAAAAGAAACTCGCACAAGTGCAACGCGTCATCAGTGATGTCAATATTTTTACGCAACCAGATGAATGCATTCAGTTTCTTAAGACCATCAATCTAGAAAAGATTTTTCTCATTGCTTCTGGATTTTTAGGTCGAGAACTCGTGCCAGACATTCATGATATGTCACAGATAGATGCTATTTATATCTTCTGTGGCAATGAATCGCGACAAAACATGGGCTAAAAAATGGTCAAAGATTGAAGGTGTATTCACTTCAATCAAGCCAATATGCGATTCATTGAAAAAAGTCGTTCGCCAATGCGATCACGACACAATTCCGATGAGCTTCGTTCCGAAGCAGGTGATTGCAGCAACAATGTCGATTGAACAAAATCTTGACCAACTGGAGCCATCGTTTATGTATTCAGTATTATTCAAAGAAATTATACTGGAAATCATCGAAGACGATGCTAAAGCGGTGGAAAACCTCGTCATCTACTACCGTAACAAAGGAGTTTCTGAAACAGAATTAAACGATTTTCAGAGTAAATATCAACAGAAATCACCAATCTGGTGGTATACATGTGAAATTTTTCTGTATGGCATGCTCAATAGGGCTCTGTGGTCGCTGGATATGGAGGCCATAACCAAAATGGGCTTTTTTATTCGAAATCTCCATCAGCAACTGGAATAATTGCATCAAGAGCAATTGGTCACATATGAAAAACAAGTTATTGTTTATCGTGGTCAGGGGCTCATCGAAAAAGATTTCCAGCATCTAGTCGACACGAAAGGTGGACTTCTCTCATTCAACAACTTCTTGTCTACCAGTACAGAAAAGCGCGTAGCCATGGGATTTGTTCAATGTGCACTGCATAAATATGAAAACATTGTCGGTGTTCTGTTTAGTATGACAATCGATCTGAGTAAAGTAACTGTTTCAAGTACTCCGTTCGCTCTTATCGATGAGTACAGTGCTATTCCACAAGAACAAGAAATTCTGTTTTCAATGCACACTGTTTTTCGTGTCGGTGAGATTAAACAGTCGGCCAGCAATAGTCGCCTGTGGGAAGTTCAATTAACTCTTACAGACGACAATGATCCACAACTGGCTGCTCTCACCAAACGCATACAAGCCGAGCTCTTTGGACCTACAGGATGGCATCGATTGGGTCATCTAAAGCTGAAAATGGGTTACTTCAATCAAGCTGAAGAACTCTACAACGAATTACTCAAGGACGCTTCTAGTGACAGTGATAGAGCACATATTTATCACCAGCTTGGACGATTGCAAAGCGGAAAAGGACAATACACAGAAGCAGTTTCATCTTACAAGGAGGCCCTCGAAATTGACCGAAAAACTCTACCAGAAGATCATTCTTCATTAGCTAATACCTACAACAACATTGGACTTGTATATGCCAACATGGGTGACCACTCGAAAGCCCTTCAATTTTACGAAAAAACAATTAAAATAAAAGAAAAAACTCTGTCTCCAGATGACCCCGATTTGGCTCTTTCCTACGACAGTATCGCTTCGGTGTATGACGACATGCGTGACTACACGAAAGCGCTTGAGTTTCACGATAAAGTACTTAAAATAAGAGAAAAAGCTCTGCCTCCGAATCATCCACATTTGGCTACTTCCTACAACAACATTGGTCTTGCGTATAGCAACATGGGTGACTACTCGAAAGCAATTGAGTCTTACGATAAAGCACTTCAAATAAGAGAACAAGCTTTGCCTCCGAATCATCTCGATTTGGCTTATTCATACAACAGCATCGGTGTGGCGCATTCTGACAAGGGTGATTATTCAAAAGCGCTTTCATTTCTAGAAAAGGCACTTGATATTCGACAACAGTGTCTTCCATCAACACATCCTGCAATTAAACGAGTGATAGACAATATTGACTACGTAAAAAAGAAGATGTAAATGTGTTTCTTTTTCTTGCTTGTACAATAGGTTGCTTCTCGTTAGTATTCATATTCCGTTCGAGCTTTTCTCAGCTGCTTATTGCGCGCGCTCAGGGAGACTTCTGCAAGCCTGTAATGTATGCATCCAGAGCGGACCACACTAGAATGGTAAGGTAACAAACGTAGGTATGACGTACAATAGTGACGATAGGAATCTACGAATATAGTAGTCCTTTTCGAGCACTACACTGCTTTCGCCACAAGAAGACAAGGAATCTCCTTGACAGTGGCGAGTTAGAACCGAAATATTTTCTGTGGCAATAACCACACATTACCACGCTGTCGGTCCATCACTGCTCCCTGGATAAAACTATGAAGACATCCTGACGGGCTGTGATTTAAATGGTACCTTACTCTACTACTACGGAATAACATAGCTATTGTAAAGCAAATATAATTTAACAGATGAAAAAAAGAAATTTTCTATTTTCAAATATATTAGGATTTTATTGAGATAACAGCAGCTTTAAATTTCATATTGTTTCAGATATGGTTTATTAATTTAATGATAAAAATTTTTCTTATTTTATTTTTTAAATTTTATCGACGTTTCGACTGAGTAATATACATAATATTATCATAACATAGGTAAATAACAATATAGTACCATGAGTTGCATAAATTTCATTATAATAAATTGTATAATCATTAGAATAGTTGTATACTGTACCTCCTAAGCAACAAACTTATTAGAGTATTTAGTCAATGTGTTGAGATAAGATGCTCGATTGAGTAGAATGATGTCATATAAGAAAACTATTTCTCATATATGTTTCAGACATGAACTGTCAGTTAATGATGATCATTGATGCATAATTAATCAGTTTGTATTGCACTATTGTTTTTTGCATCAACTAGAAAATTGATTATCGACAGCGAACAGAAAACATACTTTAATTCTCATCAGCTCAATTATTGATGAGATAATCATTTTTATCGTTTTCGTCGACGATCAATTCATCGCTATTGATATTCATGTTTATTTTTCCCTTTTTTTCAATTTTCTGTAAGACGTTTTGGTATGTGGGTATATAGTTGTATATGCATTGATTCTCTTTACATTATACTCATACTCAACTTTAAGTTAATTGTTTTATAAGAAGATCAAATTGATTTGATGAAACTTTTTTAAATAGAATTTAATGAGCTTTTATCACATCACGACATTCCATTATATAAAATATAATGGTTTATCAGGCATCGATGGAAGTTCTAGGGAATGAAGGAAATATCATTTTATTTTATTTATAATTTAAAAACTGAATCTATTGAGTTAATCATTTGTTGAAAGTAAATTAATGAACTTACTATTTTGTTGTTCTCTAGTTTAACTACTTTTATTTCACTATATCCAAGAGAATTTGGTGCTTTACTAGAAAAATGATAATAAATATTATAAATCAATTTTGTTACTCGAAAAAAACTGTTGTTATTGCTGGGAAAATTTGTACTTATATTTATTTATTATTTTTATCCTTTTTTTTTAAATCACACATTTCTAATAAATATTCTACGAATGGACTATCACCATCATTACGGGACATTTCTTATTGTCATGTTATTGGTTAATCTGTTCTGCGTAGTTATAACATCGAATTTCCGTGTTAATTAAACTGGTTATTCTAATTTTAATGATTGATTTTCAGAATTTTCAGAATATATTTCTATTAAATAAGAACTTTCATCAAGTGAATCGACATATATTAACATTGACATACCCATTTTATAAAGGAAGAAAAATTGATACGACAAAACTTGTTTTTCATGAACAGTTTACTTTAACTCAAATTGGTTCAGACATGTACATGAACTTTCAGCAATAATCGGATCACTTGTCGTCAATATTGGCAACATTCCAACACAATTCTCTGCATATACGTGAAAATAATTGTAACATCTTCAGTGAATCCATGCAGTATTTGTATATGTAAATGTACATATAGGATCAATGGATGACGATGGAACAAGTAGAATAAACGAATTCAAAATCAGTTGAAATATTAATACAAATCACATCAGCTGGAGAACTGATTACAAATGATAATTGCTTTCAAAGGGTAATCGATTATTAGAGAAATGTTTGTCTTATTTATTTAGATATTCCGAACTAGTGCCCGACGCGACCGCCGTGACTACCAGTGAGTCACCGTCACGGCCGTGACTGTGACCGTGGCTGAGGTTTGGTCACTGCCAGTCATGGGAACTTTTTCCAAATTTTGCAAAGCCCTGAGGAACTGTTCAGGAATATATTCTATTGAATGATCCCTTTTCTGTTATCCTCATCATATTAGATAATAGTAGTACTTGCATACATGTGTAATAATATATGCCGTTTTCTGATCATAATAATTCATTGAAAAAGAAAGTATTAAAGTATTTGAAAAAAAAAATGAAAAGATATTAATAATTTCTTTAATTTATTTCATATTAATAACCATTATATGTAACAACTAAATATATCAATTAAAAATATATCATTGTAAAATACAAATTATAATTGATTAAATCAATAAAATAAACATCAAATAATTGTTTCAATTGAATTAAGATTTATAAATTTATTTGAAATACACACGAAAAGATAAATTATATATTTTCTTATTAATTCTTAAATAAAATAAACCATATCCTAGTAAAAATACTCATCAAGCGACTACGACTTGCCCTCAGGAGTACTCAAATTACTCGCGCGAGTACTCGCAAAATTTTGTGTGTAATTATATTTTCTGTGTACTATTGCGAATACGCATGAGTTTTTGCTATAAGATGTACTCGTAGACCATGGCATGAGTACTCAATATAGTACTCATACGAGTTTTTTGCAGAATATTTAACTAACTACTTATGCTCAAGCGTGCAGAAAAATAAAATGCACTATGTAATAAAGAAAAATGATGTAATTTTAAATGAAACATAGAGAGAAACTATTTTAATGAAGTATTTGCTTGGTTTTCTTTTGTTTTTTTGTTGAGTAATTTATAAGATTTCATTGGCAGGTGACTTTAAGAAGAAAGAGAAGAGAAACAATTTTTCATCTCTAATTGTTAACTTCGTGAGTAAGACTTTATATTGATTTCAACATAATAATCAAAATTTGTTCTAGTTTCATGTTTTACATTTAGATAAAAAGTTCTGCAGTAAAATAGTTTTTCAGACTGATTGTGAAATGTAACCGAAAAAAAAATAAACAATGGTGTTTTTTAGAAATCGTTTGTGATTTTCAATTATAAATACACATGGACAATGCTACAGATACATAATTTTATTTTTTATCTACTATCCATTTCAAATTAAAAGAGATGGCCAGTGTTGATCGAATATCTCCATAACGATAACAGCTAGAGACCTGCAGCTTGTTTTGTTCGATAGCTTTATATGGGGCAAGTAAATGACGTGCTAGGAACGAAAAATTTCGAACGTGTTTTCATAGAGTTTGAGGGCTTTTTTCGAAAAAATCGAATACTGAGGGCGTTAAAGAGGTAGATTTTGACCCCTAATTATTGCAAAAGGTTCGTGAAACCCCCAAGAAACCTTACTTTGCCCTCGGGAACGTGAAATATTTCATCCAGCAAGCATTCCAGATGATTATTTCCGACTTTTCAAGCACGAGAGTTTTTCGTTAGAGATATTCGTAGCTACTTCATTCCTCAAAATGATATCGATTGAGATAGCCCATTTATGCCATTGTGACCTATCATTGGCTATTTTTGGGCAGGTAAATCATTTGGTTGTATTTTCTGCAAATTAAATATCATCTTCGGCATCGGTATCGCTAATTCTAGGATCGATCGCTTCTTCCACATATTTGTCGGCTTCTCGAAATGTCATTTCCGCCTTGGAAGCATCAGCAATAAAGACAGTGCAATCGTCTAGTGCTGCGATGTACTCTTGAGAAAGAGTGCTGATATCGGCCAACCGAAATGAGGTGTTGTTTCGGTGAACGTAACTTTTCAGTTGTGACCATTATAGTTCGATTGGATTCAGTACGCAATGCTTGATTTGAAGGCGGACGATCTCGACGTTGAATTCTGCAGTTGCAACATTGGTCAGGTACTTTTTGGGTGGAAGATATTGAAACGTCAGCTTGAGTTGTTCAGTATTTGTGAATGCTCCGTCAAGTGTAACCTCTCTGTCCTTGTCCTGCCTCATCAACCCAAATTGAGCGCTTCTTTTTGCCAACATTGCACCATGTTTCATCATGATAATAAATGAATGTCTGATCTATTCGAAGATCATCAAGACGACGAAAATAGGCCACTCGCTGAGCAACGAACGATACTGAATCGAGTGGTATAGTCACTTTGTTCGTTTGCTTGTAACCAAAACCGAATCGCTTCGTTTATCGCCAAAGAGATGTTTCGGATTTGATAGGAAAATCGGGACGCTCCATGAAAAGGCTTGCCAGAAGATGGCCGACAGTTGGGCAGCGTCGCTCAGCCTTTGAAATGAAGTGCATAGGATGAAGTAAGTATCATTGCTTATTCTTACCAGGATGAAATGGAAATGATAACGAATAGCATCTTCGTCAGCTTCACTGAGAACAACTCGTCGCCGTCCGAGATTATCTTCTTTCTTTGGTGCGATGAGCATGGGAATATCGGTAGAGGAGGCGGCTAGAGCGAGTTTTCTCGCAAACCAAGCCTTTTTTGTTTTTCGAAAGCCAGTGGAAGCAGACGCAGAGGCAGACTGGGCTCGAGTACGAATGGTGCTGGCTTCGGGAGCCATCTCCTCATCTTGGCTACTGTTCTCCATTCTCTGTTCTTGTCGAAGTTCTTCCAATTCCTTTTCAATCTGTGAACAGAGCTGTAACTGATTCCCAAGATAGTCATCACTTGAGCGCTTGTACTTGTCAGAGGTATCTGTAGGTCATCTCTCTCAGATTTGATGAAGTCGATCACCCGAAACATGAGCTTCTTTTGTTCGACAGAGAATTCTTCACCTTTAGGCATATTGACATGAAAATTTCCAAATGATTGATAGAATAATAATTCGAAGAAATCGTGTGAAGTAACAGAAAACAGAATAGAAGAATACCTGATGTCATAGAAGAGTGAAATGACGTAATGAAAGTGCATGACATCATAGAAGAACGCGCAAAAGTGATAGATGACATCAGCGGATTCTAATATTTAGATAAAGAGGTGAAGAGCGACATAAATGAGAATAAGGACTTGCACTATGTTTTATTTTCGGTAAACAGTCTCTACCTTTCAGAACAACTGGGCAATGATACGAATGAGTTCGTAAAAATGAAGAAAATATTTAAGAGGGAGCACGATAAGACGTATCTACCATCAAGCAACATCCGAAAAGTTCAAACAGATCTATTGCGTTATTAATGATGACCTTCATATTACAATTGACGAAAAGAAAGTGCACTTAGAACGTATGCCAACGTTTATTTTTTCCTGAAAAACAGAATAATGGTGAACCAGTTGTGTTCACAAAAAAAAGGAATTACATTGTAAGTTTGCTGAGTTTATTGAACATATTTCTTAGAAATGTAAGCTTAGCCAATGAAGACGAAGAAAACTTTCGGCATCGTTTAGTTTATCTAACTTGAGTTTTCTAGTACAAATCTTCTTCAGTTTTTACAAAGAAGTACTAGTTAAAACCATTGGTCATGTGGTGCCGAACGTTTCGTTATACAAAATTGAACGATTTCTACATCTGCTTCAGTATGAAGATGTTAATATTTGTCGCCGAAGGTAGTTAAAGAATTTTTTGACGTTTATATAAGAATTTCGAGGCGCTGCATAAGTCTGTCAATTTGATTGAAACGAGGAACATGTGTTTGAATCAATGCAAGCCTTGTATCTCTGCCATCTATGGGCACAATGAAAGCACTAAGGTTTATATTATATCATATTAAAGAAAATTTGATGTAAAATTATAGAATACAGTTACAGTTATGTCGAAATAGTTCCCTGAAAATTACGAAGAAATCGAACATCGAGACACCATATAAAAATTTTCATCACGTTCGTTATTATGCTAGTGATTATTCTTATTCAATGGTTGACAACACGATTCGTTAGATATCCAATGAGCTGCTTGATCGAGTGCTGCGTAAAAAAAGCATATCTAACATTCTTTTGTATCAGTTTAAAGACAACAGGTCCTTATCTTCATCTATTATGTGAAATACGCATAAACTCTGGATCAGTTTTCTGTAGGAAATGCTAAATCAAATATTCATCATCATGTTGATAACCATATCAAATCGAAAAGTTTCGCAATTATTCGATAATTTTTAGATGGTTCAGACCTGAAAATGTGTTAGCTTTTTTTATGCGGTCTAATCAAACTAAATCTAGCTAAGCAGTACAACAACTACCAACCTACGATCTTGGACTTATTCTTTCCAGATCTTTTTTTAATATATACAGTCAATTTACGTACCATATTTTATCGTCAACTTAGCCAGTGCTTTACGACCGTGTTTAATGAGAATACAGTCTGAAGACTCATTATAATAATAGGAAGATATATTTTTAATGGAAAAAAAATTATTTTTATCCTTTTTTTCTTGTCGACATAAGCATTAAATTAGCAGTGTAACTATGAAATCGATTCTTCACTTTTATCACTATAAATGTTATGTATATAGAACTCTTTTATTTCATTTCAAGTTTCATGACCTTGAATATATTTTCAAGCTGAAAATAAAATAGAATAGTAACGAATGAAATTAGTCATGTTAATATATAGTAGAAACTATAGCTTAAGTCACGAGTATTATACAAGAAGCCTGGAATGGAAGAATCTTATGTGAAAAGACAATACTTGTCTCATCAGCTAAGAATCGGAAACAACATAAATCTTGTTAGAAAGTTAAGATCTTTTTTATTCCAGACAAGAACCTCATGCTGAAGTATAGCACAATAGAATCTTAACTGACGACAAAAAAAATGCCAAGCATGTCAATTATTGACTCAGAATTTTTGCGTTGTGTTGTAGCAAGACTACTGAGTTTATTAAGTGAAAATACCTTTGAAAGATACTTTGAATAGTTGAACTAAAGGAACGTATGTATTTTGAGTAATTGCCCATCAGAGAACACCTTTTAGGAAATCGCGATAGAATGGAGGTCAAAGAATAGCCAACCGTTGAAGTATCAAACTACCATCGGAATCACGCATATAATACCGAATGGTCGTCTATCAATAACTTTTGCCCGATTCAAATCACATAGGTTTTAATAGTTGATTCGAAGTATTGTATGAATAGATTAACTGTTTCTTTACAAAAATCAGACAGAAAACGCTAGTATACCATAGTTCTTCTCCAACCAACATCGAACCCAAACTCGATCGAACCGTACTTTGACACACTCAGGAAAATTTTCTAATCGAAATTAGATAGTCGCCGCAAAGATTCGAGGTACTTTTTTTTCAGTTTTTGTATCAATGAATAGTACATCCTATACATTTCTCAGACGACTACAGTACATGGAGCTAGTCTCGGATCACAGTCCTGGATCAACCTGATGGGCTCTACCGGCAATCTAGTGCCAGTAGTACTTATGGGTACTGCTGTATATCAATGATAGTATGAATGGTCCAAGTTGACTGTGTCCCTAATTGAAATCGTTTATCTTTATAGATAAGACAATGAAAAAATTCATGTACTCGTCAAATATGAGAACAAAAACAATGCAGAAAAATTGTTTTTTTTACAATTCTTGCTTAAAATCATTTAATTGTTATAAATCAAATGTAATTAACTATATATATTCGATATACTTCTGACGCCATCTCGATTTTTACATCGAACACAATAATGTCGCCAGTTACTGGCTAATAAACAATTTTTCTATCGTTGTACAACATATGATTCATTGTAGTGAGACTTCCGTTAGGTTTGAATGGTTGGTTGAGTATTTATCTCTAACATCTGTATGATTTAATTTACTTTTCATTCGAATAATATTATTTGTTCTAGAATAAAAACAAAAGAAAAAGAAAAAAATCATCTTTATTTTATTATAAATAATAAATAATACGAAAAAAAAGAAAACATAATTTCATCTTGTATAAGCAATATCTCATTCTGTTTTTACTTAACTGTTATGTTCTTATTTACCTTAATGTCGAAATATTTCTACATATATAAAATGTTTAGATATTTTTCTTTTTGTTTTTTTTCCTCATACATGACTCATGTTGTTTGTTACACATGCTATTTTTAAGTATTGCAATTTATTATTCTAGATATTCTCTTATTTTGATATCCACATTCATCAATCTATATTATTATTTTTATAGTTTTTTTTCAAATTTTAATGACGGCTAAAGAAGATTTAGTCGAACCTATTATGGGTAATGGTCAACAAACAACATCAGATACAAATGATCAACAACAAACACCACCTGATTATCAAACTTCAATAAAAATTGAGAATGAAGATGATGATACTCAAGATGAAAAAGGTAAATGAAAATAAATTTTAAGATTTTATTAATTAGAAATTCGTTTTTTTTTATTTTTAAAGCTTATGATGAAAATGGTGAACCAAAATTTCCAAATGATGATTTATTAAAACTTGAAGAACAAGTTAATCGAGTACGATGGATTGTACCAGTTTTATCTGATGGTGAATTAATTAAATGTTTACGAGCTACTGTTTGTCTTGCAAGAGAAAGTATATTTGAAAATTCATATTATTTATCATAATGACATTTTATTTGTTTTTGCGATTATTTTTCTCTAGAAATCGATACTAAATGCGAACCATGTCAACGATTTATTCGTGATAGTATTGTAATTTCATTTACTAAAATATTTTGTGATGATGCTGTACAATCATGGAAATATGATATATATGTATGTAAAATTAGAAAAATTTTAAAAATAATTTTTCTTTTTATTTTTGATTTCTATAGGTTGCTATTTATAAAAATGCAATGAAATTTATTGAACTATGTGTATTAAAAATTGATGATGATTGTTTTCCATTACTTGATATTCTAAGTTTTATTATGAATCCTTTAGCACGGTAAAAAAAAGAAAAGAAATTTTTTTTTTTGTATTATCTAGAGCATATCAATAGTAATGACATCAACACTATAAAATCTTATAGAGAAGGTTCAAGAAGATTTTCTTTTGTACATATACGGATAGCTTAAATTGAGTTCTATAAAATTACTTAAGTCCTAAAAGAATAAATACTCTTAGACCTTCTTCTCTTCTAAGTTATAATCATTTTACTGGAATTTGAGTCTAATAAATCAAGTGATGTTATGTCGCTTATAGGTAGATCTATTTATAAATAGATAAATGATTTTTGGAAAGTTCAATGTTTTTTTCTTCAAATTTTAGCGCATCAAAACTTTTCTATTATAATATCACCTTAAGAATGATAAAGTATTGTAGAATTATAGAGTTCGATTTAAGCTGTCAGTATATGTAAAATAAAAAGTTTAGCTCGAACCTTCTATAAGATTTTAGTGTTGGCATCATTACTTTTGGTATGTCATAAATAATATATGAAAATTTTTATTTTATAATCATTAGATATCATCAAGCCAATAATAATCGATCATGTTCATATCGTCCACAAAATGAAACTGAACCTTTTGCTACGATAATAGAACATCGTTTTCCACAACGAGTATGTAGTTTTTCTATACTATAAATAATGATGAAAAGTTTCGAATGAATCTTACAAGAGAATATATCCAACTGTTGATCGCCGATCGAAATGACATTTTACCCTCGAAGGACAATAGTTTGACCGAGATATTGACTTTTTTATTGTATGGACTCTATTTTTTGATCGAATAACCGTCCGAGGTTTTGTGCATAAGGTAATCTCATTGAAATCTTCAGCTGAACGAAATTCGATAAAAAGTTAATACTTCGACGAAATCTTAATATCAACATGAAGCCTGTTCTAATCTATAGGTTTCCTAACACTGAACAAAATATAGACTTATAAGTTTTTAATCATATGTGGACATCAAATGATTTCTTTTCTAAATATTGAATATTTCGAAAAAAACACAATCGTATGCTATAAAATGTCAGAAAGCCAACTTTTATTGTGTATTTTATTTATCGAGATTGAAACTATTTGCTTTGGTTAAAATTTTCAGAATTAAGAAATCTATTTATGGACAACAGTTCAATTATATAAGATTTATGAAGAAAAATCCTTTTAGGCTATTTCTAATTTGTCCTTAAGTTCTACTTATGAGCAAAATGTCAGTTCAATTGGTGATTAATAATTGGATATGTTCTCTTGTTGAAAAAAAAATCGTCTAGAAATGAAAGAGTTAATCAATATTGACCTTTATATGTGTGTGTGTGTGCAAGTCTCAAATTACGTCCATAGAAGACTACTTAAGAAAAATCTTGGATTTGTGTGAAATGTATTGTATCTTTTAGAGTATATTATTTTATAAATTGAACTTAATTTTGAAGATATTTTTGAATCTTTTTTTTTTGTGTAGAACTAAAATAGACAAGAAAAAATCACCATTCTAATAGATTTTATAAATAGATAATATGTCATTAAAACCTTATTTTTAAACCCTAAGGAGCTTAATAATGCAAGTAGAAAATTCAGACCTCAGGTTCAGTAGAATCGTTTTCGACTTACATGAATAGATTCATGTATAGGTGTAAAACATAAATAATATAACGATATAAAAAAAAAAATTGAATATCTCCATTTCGGTTCATTAAAATGGACTGTTTTTTTGTCTTTTACACAAATCATACAAAACAAAGACTACCATTATTTTTCTCACTAAAGAAATTTATTCTGTTGTACTCGAAGATATTTTCCCGTTGTCATCTAAGAGAACAAAAAGAAGAAAAAAAAAATCTACGATCATTAAAATCCATTATTGAAACTCATGGAACATTAAATCACTAATTGGCTTACAAAAACTAGTATCCATACTTGGAAATTCAAAGTATTTCAGTCGTTGGTTTTTGTAACTATATAGGTTTAAGAAAATGGCATTGTCATTTGTTGTAAGCTCATCAGAACGTGAAAATATACATCAGTAATACACTATTTCAGACGTTGTTTTCGACGATAAGAAATGATCACTCCATGTGTATCAATATAATATCATTTATAAAGTTTATTCTGACTTTTTCTTTTTCACTATATAAAAAAAAATTAGCTCATTTGAATGTTTGTTTATTAAGTCTCATAATTACAGACTTGTTGTGGTTTTAAAGTTACGTTTTGGTTATCTATGCTGTTAAAAATTTCAATATAAATTTCATAAGCAATATCAATATTGTGAGTCACTAGAGTTCTAGAATATTCAAATTTCAGATGGTATAAGTTTTCATTTTCTACCAAAATAACAAAGTTCGATATAATAATATACATTTATTTAAATGTTTTAGGGTTGGCTTGTTGATTTTATAAATAGATTTGGAGATTTAGGTGGTTTTGATAAACTTCTTACTCGTTTTACTTCAACTGAAAATAAATTAACAATATCTGTTGTTATTGCATTACTTAAACCTTGGGGTCTTTGTTACGAATATTTATCACAATCAACAATAAAAAAATATTTTGCACCTATTATTGTAAGAATTTTTTTAATTGAAACGATATTTTATAATATAGACAAACAAAAAAAAACAATTTATTCATTTAGGAATTTGTTCCACAATATCTTAATCAATTAGCAGAAAATGATTTTAAAGTTGAAGCAAAAACTGAATCAAAAAGTGATACATTAGCAGCAGTCATTAAATGGCTTCGTCATCTTGCATCACGTCTATCAGATTGTGATAAAGCATGTCGAGATTTAGATGAACTTCGTCTTAAAATGATTTTACGGTACGAAATCTTCTTCTATTTACTTCAGAATTAAAAAATATTTTTATTTACAATTTTAAACTTAATTAAATTCAATTTTAAGATTTACTCTTTAATATATTCTTTTTTTTTTCATTGATAGACTTTTACAAACCAATTCATTCAGTGGTAAAATGAATGCACTTAATGAAGTTCATAAACTTATTCCAAGTCTTAGTCCAATTCATCGTTCAACATTAAATCGTTCTGATGATAATGAAGGTTTAACACCTGAAAAATTCATTGTAAATAAAAGAAAAAGAATTCTATTAATTAAGATCTTCATATTGTTTTGTTTTGTTTTGTTAGAAATGGATTGAAGATCATGAAATTCTCGATATTGTTTTACGTGATTGTTTACATCAACCACAATATGTTGAAAAATTAGAACGAATTCTTCGTTTTATGATAAAAGAACAAGCATTAAGTCGAAATGATTTAGCAAAAATTTGGAATGCATCATGTGGAAAACATGAAGCTATTGAAAAAAATGTTCATGATTTACTTGCTAAATTAGCTTGGGATTTTTCACCCGAACAACTTGAACAATTATTTGATTGTTTTCGAGTAGAATTTATATCAAAAAATATATATTTTAATAATATATATATTTTTTTTTTGAATATCTATAGGAAAGTTGGACAAAAGCTAGTAAAAAACAACGAGAAAAATTACTTGAACTTATTCGAAGATTAGCTGAAGATGATAAAGAAGGTCTTATGGCTAATAAAGTAATAATATTATAGCAAGAAAAAAAAAATCAATTCATAGTAAATAATGTTTTTTTTTCTCGTTAAATAGGTTTTAGAATTATTATGGAATATTTCACATGAGAAAAATTTTCCAAATGAAATTATTGATCAAGCATTAGCAGCACATTTGAAAATTCTTGATTATAGTTGTTTACCAGTAAGTAAACGTGACAAGGAGAAATACTTACAAAATTTTATCTTTTTCCATGAAAATCTCTTTCAGTAGGCTAATCAGATTAGTTATTGATAGGAAATTACTGACAAGAGAACCTCGTCAGATATTTCCTTGCGATTTCAATGATTTTTTGTCCTATAGATACTGTATGGTATTCTAATAAAAACCTTAAAAAAGGACTTGGATTTCTATTGAGATTTTACTAAGATCGCAGATTTTCAGTAAATTCATATTTTCGAATTTTTATCTGAAACTTTGTGCATATAGAAAACTCAATTAGATTAACTTCCCTGAAAAAACTCAAGAGTTTTGAATAAAATCTCTTTGAGATATGGAACTTTCAAGGTATAGACTCTTTTCCATGGATAGTGTATTATTTGCAGGATTTGTATATCGTCTCATGCACACCTATTTGTATGAGAGCTAATTTTTAAACATTATGAAATTGAACAGTATTAAAGATTTGAACAATCTAACAATAGATTTAATAGATCTATGGAAATCTTCTGTACTTTATGATATTCTTTATTTTGTGAATTGTGTATTCACTTTATCTGATAGACATTACTTTGTATTTTATTTGAAACAAATCGAAACGATAAAAATTATTGAGTACACTAGTATTGCTTGTTATGAGTTTTCTCGTTACATAAATCTAGTTCATCAAAAAAAAAAAACAAATCTACGCAAATTCAACAATCTTATTTAAACTCACTAGGGAACTTTCCAAGGTGCGGGAGCGCTTTTCAATCGGGGTTTCGCGCATCTTGTAGCCCATAGTGTGCTATGTCTATGGTAAAAAAAGTTCGGGTTTCTGGCTTGTTTCTGAGGAGATATCGAG